CACCACACATCAAACTGAATGCATGATTCATGTTGCAATTTCTAGTTCAAATAACCCAAAGTTCATACGAAAATTCGTATTTGAACTGTGGCAACACAGCCCCAAGCCAATAGCCTAGCAATCAAATAAACCCCAGCCCGTTTTGCAAACGGCGACTACTCGCTCCACCTCTACCCCCCAGCCCCTCAACCCCTCAACCCCACCTACTCGCACCTACTCACCTCACCCATCTCCAGGCACACTTAAGCTATTGACCTACACACCTAATTGATATGCCGCACGTTGACTCAACAATCAAAAGGCAAAGCCCAATTGCCCAGCTCAAGGTAGGATGGATGAGAGTTGTATTTAGAGGGTGTTTTTTCTTTTTTTATAGGGCTCCTTTATAGGAGACCTTGGCAAAAAAAATGTGCAGAAATCTCCCCGGGGATTTCAGTTTTTATGTTGAAATTATACATTTTATTATGTCATTTAAATGCGATGCCGGAACAAGAAGAAGAAGCAACAGTCAAAGAAGCAAGTAGAAGAGAGACAGAGAGATAGAGAGAGAGAGAGACAGCATATAAACTAAACAGACAGTTGTTGCCACTAGCGCCCAACTAGTGCCTGGCCCTAGCCTTCGGCAGGCCATAAATCAGCAACAGTTAGAAAGGATGTAAAGCAGCAGGACGCAAGGTAAAGTCCAAGTTCTTTCTCTCTATCTCTCTCTCTCACTCTGGCAAACTTTCGTGCAAATTGTAGAGGGAGAGCGTGAAGAGAGTTAAATGTAGAGCATTACGGAACCACTGCAAAGCTCTGCTTGGGGTGCAAGTTTTATGACTTTGCTTCAGGATACGACAAGGATACCAGGATACACTAGGCTGTCGCTGTATGTGTGTGTGTGTGGGTATGACTCTGTGTTTGTGTGTGCCTGTGCGTGTGTTCAGCGGGGCATATGTAATTTTCATACCTTATAAAATTGCAAAGCTTGCAATAGCGAGCGAAGAAAAGATTTGCTATTTATACCCTCTAAATAGTTGAGGGAGAGGTAGCATAGGATTGACCACTCATAAAATTTTATTTCCTCATGATATGAATAATTTCAATATAAGCTAGATTTCTATAAGGACTCTATATATATTTTATTTATTTTCTAAATCATTTTCCCTCCCTATTTAGCATATTAATTAATTAATTGTATTTTTAATCAACTTTAACAAAAATAAGATTTAAAAAAAAATAAATAAAAAGAATAATTTTGCGATTATTTGGCTGACGCCTTAGGGTATCTGATAAACGAGCATACTTTCCACTGACTTAATTCAACTTCATTTTTTATTATTTTGATTTTTGTGCGAAAAAGGATTTGGTGAAAGGACA